TTTCAAGGTAAGTCGGTAGTTCTCTGGTGGCTTTTCCTAATGGTAAATGGGGAATTCTTTGATTGGAACCTTCCCACAGACAACGCCAATCTGTTGACCTCGTGAAATAGACCTCCACCTGGCCAATCGAGAGCCACTTCACGTGTTCCTCCCTACACACAACAACGCACAGTTAGGAGGACACGTTGGAACCAGCGGGGATGGTAGCGGCCGCATACACTCCGACGATCAAGTCAGAGATCGATGATCGAAATGGTACAGGAATTGTGCAAGAGAGTGGGGAGGAGAATATATAATGCTTGAGTGTGGAAAGCTTGGTTTAGTATATGTTTCATTACCTTTGCCTCTTGCCAAATCTTGAGTATTTATGGATGAGGAGCACGTTGGATATGGGACATGTATATGCATCTGACGGAGTGAGATGTCTACTCGTAGGCGTCAATCAGTCTCGTCTAGAGTGGGCGGGTTATTAATTTCCCTGGATTGAGTTAACATAAAGTTGATATTACATCAACTAGACCCATGGAGATGTCACATTCATAGAGGATTCTGATAGAGATATGCTTTTGAAATTGGCGGTGGAGGTGTCTGTTAACGGAGCACTCGGATAGCCAAGCGCTTTGGTTACAGGGGGCGCTTCGGTCACTTCAGTAGATTTAATTTATAAAGTGTGTCTTGCGGTGCGTCGAGTTGGGATTTGGCTGAAGTCGAAACCACTTCAGAACCGCATCGTTGGGACACATGGCACTTCGTAAACAAGAGAGACACTATTGTCGAAGTGGGTTAGTTCGGGGCGTAACACGAGTTACAAATCAAATAAAAATTACAACTTATAAAATTGCATTACAAATTAAATAAAAATTACAACTTACAACTCTCCTCATTTTTTCGGACTTGGGATCGGCTACATGACATAAGCGGAGTTAAAATTGTACACGAATAAAATATTTATTGTACAATTTTTCTTAAAACAAATAAATTTAAAATTACACATTGTTTTGAAATAAATTATTTTAAAAACTTACAACATTCTATGTTTGGATCTACTGCAACTTTTCGACCAGTATACTGTCAACATGTTCTTGAACACGTAATTATGCACATTCTCAATCCTTCAAGCACATTAAAGTCTTCAATATATCTTCTTTTAGCCTTGAACGTTCGTATGATAAACTTCGACCACCTAAACTGAATGCAGCCTCCGATGCTACCGTAGACACCAGATGTGTCAGTAGATCACGTGCAATTTTTGATACAATTGGATACTGTCTTTCATTACATCTCCACCAATTTAGAAGACTAAATTTCTGTAATTCTTTTTCAGGTAACACACTACGAACGTCCAAGCACATATACCTAGCTAACTCGAAGGAAATTTCAAAATTTGTACCACCAACATTTATCGCTCTAGATATCAATGAATTAGAACTAAACGAGGGAACGCTTGTATTGCTTTCCAAAAATTTTCATAAATTATCTGAATTTGTTGAAATATCTCTTGAAGAATAACTTTAGGAAGTAGAACTACACTGACCTTCTTTATCAGCATAATAATTATACATTTTAGATAACATAGATTCTATATTCACATGTGTTAATTCTACATTCATGAAATTTGAAATTCCCTTTACAGTGGCTGTTGTGCTATTCAAATTAAGTCGATGGTCCATTGTTGAAGCTAAATTAAATAAAGAGGACAATTCTTCTCAATATTTACGAAATTTTAACTCCATAGAGCAAACTAAGTCAGAAAAAGGGCAAATTCCTGTATTTATGAAATGTAGAAAAAATGTTGTAAAACAAGTAAAAATGTTGGGTAATAAACTCCACTACATTCTTTTGTAGCATCGAAAAAAAAATTTAAAATTTTTTTCACGTGAAATGCAAGAGACCATTCTCAATCTTCTAAATTATGTTAAGGTCCGTACGTATGCCCACGATTATAATATAATGAAATCACTTTATCATAATTTCCACACAAATGTAACATAAGATATGTAGAGTTCCATCTATGTACTATATTAGTGGAAAATGATTTCTCCTGTAAGCCATACTCTACACACAAACTGTTAAATACTTGCTTTCTTGTTGGTGACACAATAATAAAATTTATTGCTTGTTTAATTTTATCTAAAGGATAACTTATATGTTATAATCCAGCTTTTACAATTAAATTGATAATTTGACATACACAAAATTGATAAAAAAATAAAATTCCAAATGTAGGGTTAAGATCATTAATAAATCTTTCGATAACACCTTTGTTCACACTAGTATTATCAAAAGTAAAACTTCGAATCATATCTTGCATACCATATTCATGTATGATATCTTTTAAAATCATGTATATGTTAGTTGCATTATGAGGATATTTTACACATCTAAATGCAATAATTCTTTTATGTAAAAGCCACAGGTGATCAATATAATGAACCGTAGCAGCAATATAACATTTTTTATTACCACCGGTCCATAAATAAGATGTAAATGATATAACACTATTAAAAAATTTTAAACTTTCAATAGCAACTTGTTTTCTTTTGTTATATAATTTTATAGTATCTGAACGAAAAGTATTTCTACAATAAGAAGAATACCTGAGTTGGAGATATTTCTGCACGAGTCAGGTAAAGTGTACTGAGTCTATCATCGTAAGCGGCATCTTTGCTGCAGCCACGTATGCAGTCATTCCTTCACAAATTTTTTTTTGTGAATATACAAAGGTGGAAAGAGTAGAACAAGAACCGTCAAACACTAGTTCAGTCTGTTTCGAGTCGAAATCGACTAGTTTCGCTTTGCAACTCCTTAATATGTGTCTATTCAAATGTGTTGTGCTCGAACTGGGCTTCCAACTAAGTTCTTTGCCACAGTAATTGCAACATGCTTTTCAAATATCCACTCCATTTTGAATGCCAACTTTTTTACGTGTTATATGTTACCAACAATCTGAGGATTCTTTTTTCGACCTTTTAATCTCGAGCATTTCTTCCTCTTCAATATTCTCTAAATCAATTGGAACATTTTGATATGTATCGTCGTAACTGGATGGAGTACTCGAGCTACCCTTAAACTGATTAAACTCATCACTAGTAAAATTCATTTTTAACTAGTATAGTATAAAATACAGAATATCAGAGTATGAGAGTGAAAAAAATTGAATATAAGATTGAGAGCAAAGAAATTGGAGTTGAAACTTGAATCTATAATACTGCACGTTAAAATCAATTGAAACAAATTGATTTGAAACTTAAAAGTTTACCCCGTATTTATAGCCAAAAAATCAATTTTACCTCCAAATTTGAAATATGAGCCTCGTAAATTGAATCGTAAAACACAGTAGAAAATCAGAAAATTTATCTGTTTAATCAACTAGGCTACCTTAAGGCAGCACCTTACCTTTTCTATTTTTTTTTTTGGTTTAAATTTTGGGTGGGCTGCGGGCCTTGTCACAGGCCAGCTCGGGCCAATGCCCAAAAATAGGGCTCGGCCTGAGGCTTTTTCAAGTCAACCCACGAGCCGCCCGAGCTACCGAACTAGTTTGACATCCCTAAACCTCACCTTCCATTCCTCACCCCACCCACAATCAAAATTGTGTAGCCTCTCTTCTTTTTCCCTGTAAGCGCTATCAGAAACAGCCACATCGCCACCACAACTCCCTTCACCACCACCCACTACCAATGCTGACCTCCTTTATCGCTACCTTCCAGCTCATTGCACGTGTAGAAAATAAACCAAAAGACTCACCCCACTATTGGAAAAATAAAACTAAGGGTGTGTTGGAGCCCAATTATTTGGCATTATAATGAGATGAATAATTTTATTTTTTTTAAATGAGTGGTTGAAATTTTTTTAATTTACGTGTAATATTATTTTATTGAAAATTGTGTGGTCAAAAGTATGAGAGAGAAAAATTTAATTTAATGTAATGAGAAATAATATGGCTCAAACGGGGGCTAAGAAAGCTCACATAATAGTCAAATGGCAGCCATTGCCACACCTAAATCGATACCATCATCAGCATCTCAAATTGCCAATCGCCCCAGCAACAAAAACCCACCGTTCATTGTAGATTACAAATCGACAAACCCCAAAATTGACACCAAAGATCCAAAAATCAAATCTCCACCAATCGCCACCATTACTAGTGATTGTCAAATCCTCACACAACTATAATCGAAACTCATAAAATCAAAAAATGAAAATAAAATTGTTACAAATCTTCAATAGATTTATGAAAGAAATTTTGATTTGCATTGAGATGACGACTTCGACCACCGGTCTGGGTGGGAGTCAGGAAGGGGAAGCCGCGAAAGGGAAAGATAGATTTTTGTTTCATGGATGCCCACCACTAGCTTATAGGTTTTTCATGAGAGTGGGATGGAGTGAGGCACGTGGGTAGGTTTCTTTTTTCAGTTTTTTGGTTTATTTTTATGTTAAATTTGAGGAGTTATCATTTGGTTAAAATCAAATTTTTTGGTCAACTAACGGCACAATTTGTACCTTAGCTGCATATTTCTGAAAAGTTAGGGACCTTTATTAGCATAAATTAAAGGTAAGAGTAAAATCTACAAAAATTAAAAAGTTAAAAGACTGCTGCTGCAATTTTCCCATAAAATGTATAATAAAAACACGGAAGCGTTTCTCTTACACATGAATTTGACAAATATTTTTGACAAATAATCATGATCTTTAAATGAAGCAAATCCAACGTCACGATTATTTGTTAAAAATACTTGTCAAATCCATGTATAGGATGAACGCTACCATAAAACATATTAAAATCCACTTTTATCAAACAGCATAAATTTACAGAGGGAGATACTATATGTACCAAATCATTTACGAAATGGGTGATCGAATTGACAAGTGTCGTGTCTTTATTGGAGTGGACAGGCGCCCCTCCAATAGGGGGTATCACTTGTCAATTCGATTAAAAATTAGGTAAGAGATTTGGTACAAGTAAATTAATTCTATCTCCAAATCACGGCCCGATTAGAAAACCTAACCCGTCTTCTGCTCACCGTATATAAGTGCCTTTGTTCAATCGTACATAGACCCACCTATTTCTTTGAATTGGAAAAATCCGGGAATAGTCGCGGTGTGATCTTTGCAGATCTGGTGGTTCTTTATAAATTCTTTTGGTAATTTTTTTATCTGCTGAGTTCTAAATAATTCTTGACGACTTCGGCTTGTATTGGTACATTCTTTTGAATCTATGTTTTTCTTCTTGGTGGATATTGTTTAAATGTGAACACGGTTGATTTCAGGGTCTTATTTACTTGAGTCACCTTTCATTTTTTGGGTTAATATCTCATTCTCCTCCCTACTTTCGTAATTGACACACGTTTGACGTTTTGTTTGAGTTATCTTTTGATTTCCAATTCATCATTAATGAAGTTGATTGATTTTAGGTTTTGCTTTCTCTATCTCCTATCAATTTTTGTAGTTGAAGAATACTTGCTGTATGAAGTTATATTATTAAGTTTTTTTAGTCATTGATTTTCCAATTCATTATTAATGAAGTCGATTGACTTTAGGGTTTTGATTTTCTGGATTTTTGGTTTAATAATTTTGGTTAACATTAATCTTCCTTTTTACTATTTTACAATTGAAAGATTTGTTATGCTTCGTGAGTTTGTTAATTTTAAAACTAAACCTTTTATGCTTATATACTTAAAATACCATTTGTAATGACCGGGAAGGTTCTGTATGTGTAGAGATAGAGAGTCCAGAATTTTCAGTGTCAATCCTTTTTTTGTTGTTAAAAGCTGGTAAAAATGTATTATGTTTTTACGCGGAATCTTGTTCAAATGAATTGGAAGAAATTTATGTTTAAATAAGTTGGAAGTGAACTATTTCATTCAAGTAAGGCAAAATGATGGACAATCTGAAACCACACTTACAGATACTTTTTAGGGTTTTATATTGTGGACATGTAGGGACATAGATGGACTCATGCACATTCTTCGGAGCATTATGTTTAAAAGGTTGATCGGGTGTTCAGGCATTCCCGTAAGCAAGGCATAAGCTTCAATGTATACCAGAAAAAAAAAAGACAGAGTAAAGTAATTAAAATGCGAAATAATCTCATAATAAATCATAAAATCTCTTCAAAATTTAAATAGAATAATTTAAAATGTTCAAAAAAATAAAAAATAAAAAATAAAAAATAAATCCATGAAGTAACAAAAAGGAAACTATTTCTTTAGTTGGTGGAGCAACGGACTATTCCCAAAGTGGACTAGTATAAATATTTTTTTTAAGTTGTAGCTGGTTCCCAAGGTGGTTTAATAGGGAGACAATTTTTTAATGCTTTAGCAATAGCTAGTGAGGCAATGGGCTATTTACAAAGTTGGGTCCAGAGGAATTTTTAATATTTTTTGCCCTGCGCCATAAGCAAAGTAAATAAGTCTAGAGAATTAAATAGTGAATGCCTCACAAGCATTGAAGCATGTCTCCAGAAATGCCACCCGATCAGGGCCTTAAGGTGTTTTTTATTTGCCATGCTTTGAGATGTTGAGATTTTTTAAACAATTGGAGCATCTTATATGACATGGGTCAGCAATTGGAAATGTCAAGATCTGGTTTCATTAATGGGAATTTCTGTTGAACAGAATACTTATATTTATGATATGTGGGCGGAAAATGGGGGTTTTCTGAATTCGGATTATTCAGACTAAGTCTCATTATTTCAGTTTTCATTCACTCGCATCATTTTGCTAATTAGTATGCTTTATTGCAGGCTATTCCTGGTAGCTTAAATACTTTTTATTGCTTCTGAAGTTTCATTGATTGGATTTGATTTTTTCGACACTTGTTTGATGGATGATGGCTATTCCAATGGATGATTACAAGGAAAATTCATCAAGGGAACGTGTTCAGCACCTCTTCAACAAGGTATATGTGTTCTTTAGTCCAAAAGATTATCTCTTTGTGGGTGGAAATTGAGTTTGGCATTCTTCATGTGAATGTTTGTGTCGTATAATGTGGCCTAGATTACGTTTCTTTTTGTAGAACATTGGCAAAGGGGTTACCTTCGAAAAATCATCCAATTACCTCATCGAGATAAACGAGGCATACAAATGCAGAATTATCTTGTTTGGTTTAGTTGGCGTTTTTAAAAAGATATAATTATTATGTTCTCTTTAATCAATTATGTTTCTTTGACTGATTTCTCATTCCACTATAGAATGTTGAATTGGAGGCCAAGCGTAGGAAAGCCGCCCAAGCCAGAATCCCTTCTGATCCAAATGCATGGCAAAAGATGCGTGAAAACTATGAGGCTATTGTCCTTGAAGACCATGCTTTTTCTGAACAAAACGACGTAGAGTATGCTTTGTGGCAGTTGCATTACAGGAGAATTGAGGAATTACGGGCACTCTTCAACGCCTCTCTAGCTTCATCAGGACCAGCTGCACCCCCGAATGGGGAAGTTCCTTCCCGAGCTGGACCTGATCGACTGACCAAAATCCGTTCCCAGCTCAAGGCGTTTCTTTCTGAGACCACTGGATTTTATCATGATTTGATGTTGAAGATAAGGGTAAAGTATGGTCTACCACTGGATAATTTTTCCGATGATCCACACAATCAAATTTCCTCGTTAGAACATGGAAATAAATTTTCTGAGAAGAATAAGGGATTGATATCCTGTCATCGCTGTTTGATTTATCTGGGGGATCTTGCACGATACAAGGGCTTATATGGGGAAGGGGACTCTAAAGCTCGGGAATTTGCAGCTGCGTCCAGTTATTATATGCAAGCTTCTTCACTTTGGCCTTCTAGTGGTAATCCACATCACCAGGTAAACCCTTCTTGAACTTCATAGTGGTTTTTAGTTGGCAACTTTTGTCATTAATTGCCTCTTCCTATATTTTGGATATGGTTGTCCTGCTTGGTTATTAACTTGTAGTTCTCTTAATTTTTCAGGTTGCTATACTGGCAGGATATTCCAATGATGAACTGGGGTCTATATATTGCTACTTCCGAAGCCTAGCTGTTGAGAACCCTTTCATCACTGCAAGGGACAACTTGATCATCGCATTCGAAAAGGTAACTATTCAGTATATGAACAAGTACGAGGATGTTAAGTTCATTAAAATTTTCACCTTTAACCTAGTATATAACTATGTTCTTATTTTTTCACTTGTTGTTATTATCTTTTTTACGAGTGTTAGGCTTAACTCCATGTCTGTTCCTGAGAGTAGAGAATAGCATTCGTGATTGAAATTGGTGCTTTGTTACCTAATAAGAACAAAACATGAAGTAGAAAGTGCCATTTGATCAAGTATTACTATGTCACAAGGACCTCTTTTCTTGCTTCAATTTTTCAAGATTCTTGTTACCTTCCCATCAACCAATGGCACTTTTACACCATTGTTCTCGTCATTAATTTTCTCTATTTTGGCAGAATCGTCAGAGTTATACCCAACTTCTTGGTGATGCTAAAGCTTTGGTGAAGGCAGCACCTTCGAGGATGCCTGGGTACAGGAGAGGTAAAGGTGAAACTAGGACTTCTATTAAAGATAATAAGGTGGAAGCAAGTTCAGCTAAGAAAAGAGCTTCTGGCGTTGCTGATCTTTTGAAAGCCTTCATCACACGATTTGTTCGACTAAATGGCATTCTTTTCACGCGGACAAGGTCTGTTCTGAATTTTTACACTGTTTAGTATATTGTGACATTAAAATGACAAACCAATGATGCTTATACGTTTCTCATGTTTATCCAGCTTGGAAACTTTTGAGGAAGTCTTCTCAATGGTTAGAAATGATTTGTTAGAACTTCTTTCTTCTGGGCCAGATGAGGAGTTCAACTTTGGTTCTGATGCTGCACTGTGTCAACTAGTAATTGTCAGACTGATCATTATTCTCATATTTATTGTTCATGATGTGAGCAAGGAAAACAAAAACCAATCATATGCTGATAGCCTACAGCGTTCAGTCCTGCTTCATAATGCATTTACTGCTACCTTCGAATTTATGGGTTATGTACTTGAACGCTGCAACAAGTTGAATGATCCTTCATCTAGCTTTTTATTGCCTGGTATCATGGTTTTTGTAGAATGGTTAGCCTGTAACCATAATGTTGCAGTAGACAGTGGTTTGGAGGAGAAGCAAGCGAATGTTAGATCCTTTTTTTGGAACAATGTTATCGCCTTCTTTAATAAGCTCTTATCAAGTGGATATGTATATATTGGTGAAGATGAAGACGAAACATGTTTCTCCCATGCGAGTGAGTACGATGAATTTGAGACTGCTAATCGTCTTGCATTGCCTGAAGACTTTGAATTGAGAGGATTCTTTCCTCTTCTTCCTGCTCAAGTTACCCTCGATTTTTCAAGGAAGCATAGTTTTGGAAGTGATGGTGGCAATAAGGAAAAGAAAGCCCGCATTCAGAGGATTATTGCAGCTGGAAAGGCTCTCGCAAATGTGGTCCAGATTGGGAAGGAGGGAATATATTTTGACACGAAGTTGAAGAAATTCTTGATCGGTGTTGAACCCCAAATTTCTGTTGATTATCCACTCACCAGCCCTTTAGAAGATCCCAAAATAAATGGTAATTCGCTAGAAAATTCTGTTGAGGGCCAAGTGGTTCTAGCTGCTAGGCCCAAGCTGGAGGTTGATGCTGAAGGAGAGGAAGACGACGAGGTTATTGTCTTCAGGCCATCTAAGACTGAGAAGCATGTGAGTGACTTCGCATCAAAGTTAACTTCTTCAGAGGTTCTTGCTTCCACTGTTGGTGATGGAAGGGTTCATTGTGGGAATCAGAATGGGTCTGTTTCTGTTGGAGATGAGAGTTTCCTCTTACAGGGTGCTCCAAGCACTGGACGATCTATAGCTGTTGCTAACTGCACTTCTCAGTATATGCTACCAGTCCAACCCAGCTTTTCAAAGTACTTGGTAGAACAAGCTCCAACCCTGAATGGCTTGTCCCACTTGAGTTTGATGGAAAATGGATCTTTTATGAAACCTGCTCTGCAAGATCAATTGGGAGTGTCCCAGCCTGCTGCTTCTGCTGTTCCCTACCCTCGGTTTGTCAACACTGATTCTGGACATAATTATCCTGTTCAGATTTCACAAACTGCTGTAACATCTAAATTTGATTCCATTATGTACCCCAGAGCAGCTACTGATGGCCCGTTTGTCAAACCATCACCAGCCATATCAGCAGGCATAAAAAAGAATCCTGTGAATCAACCTGTTCGGTATTTTGGGCCCCCACCTGGCTTTGGTTCCACTCCTTCTAAAACTGTGGATGAGTCATTGAACAGCATGACATTGAAAAATGAAAATCATTTAACCCCTCAAATGGACGAACATAGCTGGCTAGATGGATATGAGTTATCTTCAAATCAAAGTGCTGGATTTAACAAGTCCATTAATCATGTGGGACCAAAATTCCCTTCTGCGAGCAAGAACAGTGGTTCAATGGGAAAGACAAGCTTCCCTTTCCCTGGGAAGCAAGTCTCTGTGATGCAAGTCCAGAGTCAAAACCAGAAAAGCTGGCTCGACTATCAGTTGCCAGAGCATTTGATGCAGTACCAGGAGCAGCAGCAACAATTTCATGGAGGAAATCAACATTATGTCAGGTCAAAGAAGTATCAAGGACAATCTCCTTTGGAAAGTCACTTCTTTGTGTGAGATGATTAGGGGAGCATAGATGGTAAGGTGTATTCTGCCTCTTTAGTTTTTAGTCTTCAAATCATTATTTTCTTCCTTCCCTCTCTATAGATGGGGGGCAGTTTCCTACTATCTTGAAATTGACTTTATGTTGAGATGCTCCACTTGAATTTCTACCACATCAAATTTTCTTAACGTATTAAGGTTTGAACAGTTTGACGCGACAAATATCCATGGCTGGGTTGCTATCATTTCCACCATTGCTTTTGCTGAATCTTCCGTGTTGAGTTTTTGTTGGAGCATGGTAGTAGTTGGAGTGTTGAAGGCACCTGATTTTGAACAGGTTTCTCTCTGTCAATTGACTTTTTCTTTTAAGATGTTAGTTTTTCCTTTCAAATTACGTAAAATAATCAAAACGTCTGACACAGTAGCCTTTTATTTTGATTTTATACTGACTGAATGTGTTTGTTCTTCTGAGTGTTAGTTTCTTCCTTTTGGCATATTTCTCTTTTTCCTTTTCTCAACTGTGGTTTTCAGCTCGAGGAAAATGGTTTTTTTCATGTGAAAGTGATTTTGCAATCTTTGGCCTTGCTGTTTGAGCATCGCTTGCATTTAATTTTTTCCCCCCTTGGTTCTCTCTATTTTTAGCTCCTAATGAATGCATATATGACCATTTAGGGTCCTTTTGATTGAGAGTTCCAACATCTTTTTCTCTTTTACTTTTGGTTCGATTGAAGAGAGGACAGACTGGGTCTGCCTAACTGTACTTTGCCCCCATTTTCTTTTTTCACTGGTCTAGACGAGTTGTTTGGTAGAAGGGGTGTTGCCTTTGGTTACCAATTTATTAGTACCTTCTCTATCTCGTGTTTTATTTTTGCGATAAAATCTTGCTCCGAGTACCTTATGTGTGCTTGTGTATGTTTCTTGCAAGATGAATGATAACTACCTTCACCATTAGCCTTACAAGAGAAAGTGCTCATTTTATCCCTTAAATAGCAACTATCTCTATATTTGTCTTACCTTCCCCAACATCCTTCAATCAGATGAAGAACTTGACTTCCTACAATGCGATCTGTTTAATGATGTAGATATTGCCAATCGGCTCCTTGATAATGCTGTCATACTACTTCGCCACCAGAATATTCTCTCCTGGGCACTGATGCATTTGTTACTTGGTAAATGTGTGTAGCTTGGCCTATGGAGTTATTTGACACTGCAATGATTTGATTAGTTTACTAAATGAAGTTTGTAGCAAATTGCTAAATGGATTTTTGCCTTTTGTAACTATTTTGGACATTTCTAAACCTTATTTAGAAAAACAATAGTCAAAAGCTATTGCCCCTTGAGGGAAAAAATAATGAATGGAGATTAGAGCATGGATTTAGCCTGGAGACCCATATTCTGATATTTCAAACCATGGCATGGCTGGAGTATCGTCATCCCACTAGCAGACTAGGTGCAGAAGGATATGCTTGTATTTTATTGAATGATTTAGGTTTGAGTCAATTTATTAGCACTCCATAATTTTGGTTTTATATTGAGAATTCGACTTAGGTTGATTATTCACAATGCGAATTAAAATGGTAGAATTTGATAGCTAAACCTCACCCCCAAAAAAGGGATTCATTTGGTCTTTTATACCTCTTTGTTGTCATTTTTATGTGTCATTGCCCTCTAGTTGGAGGCTCTCTGTAATTATAATGCCTTGTATCACACACTGGGTAAATTGTATTAATATGTTTTTAGTTTTATATGCAGCTTCGGCGAGCTTCCAGACCTATTGTATGGAGCTTATGATATCAATAGGTGATGTAACTGGTAATTTTACATGCAGGAGTGCCTTGTCTGGTTGGTCAGTCAGCCCTCTTCAGGAATATTGGGTTATTCCCTGCAGTTATGGGCATTTGGATGGAATCAATAGAAGTATTTGGTTATTCTATTTTGCTAGGTGAAAGTGCTCAACTGAATTGTTAGTACTTGCCTGAAATGCCGCACTAGGCATTTCAACAGCTAAACTTTCAAGTTATATTCTTGGCAGTCTCTACACTAGAGCTTTGCCTTTGCCTGAAGTTCTGAAATGATATATTCTGTGTGAAACTCGTGGGGAAGTTTCTGCGTTAGTGGAGTATGTTAAGGATGTTATTGGTATAACTATGAAATTAGTAACATCCAAGGAATGTGAACTTTCACATTTGATTTTTTTTATTTGTAATAATGTCGTGTCGCGTAAAACTCGTGGTTGCTTAACCGTTTATGAGATACATTGTGGTGTTACATTGTCTTTGGGATCAATGGTGTTCTTGTGTTGCAACTATCATAATGTTCGACCTTCTTTTCTTTATTATTGTTCGTCCTCTCCAATATTCCACGTGTTTCTTCAACCTTTTTGGAAGCTCTCCTGGCCCGTCTTTGGTTGGAAGAACATCTATGAAAATATGAAATCTTAATATAAAGATGCATTAGATGCTAGTGGACCGAATAAAGAAGTCAAATCTGTACCATTTCACCTCGTCCCGTTTTGTGCAGTACTATATTTAGTAAACTTCTAGTAAATCATCTTTGTTACCACATTTTTTTTTATTGGTAAATGTGTAATTATATAGATAAAAATTCATGTACAAGTACATTGGGTATACCAAATCTTGCAAAATCCCAACTAAATCATAAGATGTACCAACAACATAGTCCAACCACCCAAGGCTAGGGACTCAAAATGGATTAAAACATTAGGATGCAATGTAATCATTACTTGTGTTTTGATCCGTTTCACAATACTATTGAAGCGTGGTCTAAGATCTTCAAATATCAGTTTATTTGTTGCCATCCAAATGTTGTAGATGGTGCTAGCTAGTGTGATTCTTTTGGCTTTACTTTGCCAAAAAGTCCCTTGAGCCTACTTCTTAATCCATTTTGATGAGTTTGCTAACGTAGACATTGAAGGTGTAATACCCATCCACCTTCTGATCTGTTCCTACAATGACGCACTAAACGAAAAAGTGCTGGCTGGTTTCCTCCCTCTGCCCACAAAATGATGCAATTTCTGTCAATCTCTAGGTGATATAATTTATCTGGGTAAGTAGCTATGATTGGGCACTTAAGGATAAAAGAGTGTTTCGATGTGATGAATCCCTTCCAAACATCCGCTGCTCAGGTTTCCTTAGATCCCTTCGGTCGAAAACATGGGAACATCTATTCTCTTGTACAACCCTGGCTTCAGCACAATTACAATTTTCTACAGAAAAAAGGAACTGATCAAGAAGTGACTGCATCTTTGAAAAATATATTTTGCAAATATTCTACAAATAGAAAACATTTTTGCTGATTGCTATTCCTGTACTTCCACCAGCCCAAACTGGGCGACTACCCATAAAAAATTTGGCACTTCCTCTCTGGAAAAGAGATTAGGGAAAACCTTATTGATTAGGATCATATTGGATGGACTTGTATGCATGTTCAAGCTTCTTTGCAATGTCAGTCCTGCAGAATGTCTATGATGCCAAAAAACATAATGACATCATTATATTCCCCAGTTGGCTCTTCTACTAGTTGGATTTCAATGTCATTCTTCCTCTCAGTTCTTTCTACTCTTGCTGGCATGTTGAATCCCAATCTTATACTTGCCCACCTGCACCCAACAAGATTTCGAACACGTTCGTACATGATAATGCAAAATAAGTGAAACTCAACCCAGCCAATGCTTGACTAATAACAAACGAAGCCTTGTTCCGAATAAACTTGGGGATGGCTGTATGAATATTTTTTCACCAACCATTTTGATGTAAGCGCTATCAGAAACAGCCACATCGCCACCACAACTCCCTTCACCACCACCCACTACCAATGCTGACCTCCTTTATCGCTACCTTCCAGCTCATTGCACGTGTAGAAAATAAACCAAAAGACTCACCCCACTATTGGAAAAATAAAACTAAGGGTATGTTGGAGCCCCATTATTTGGCATTATAATGAGATGAATAATTTTATTTTTTTTAAATGAGTGGTTGAAATTTTTTTAATTTACGTGTAATATTATTTTATTGAAGATTGTGTGGTTAAAAGTATGAGAGAGAAAAATTTAATTTAATGTAATGAGAAATAATATGGCTCAAACGGGGGCTAAGAAAGCTCACATAATAGTCAAATGGCAGCCATTGCCACACCTAAATCGATACCATCATCAGCATCTCAAATTGCCAATCGCCCCAGCAACAAAAACCCACCGTTCATTGTAGATTACAAATCGACAAACCCCAAAATTGACACCAAAGATCCAAAAATCAAATCTCCACCAATCGCCACCGTTACTAGTGATTGTCAAATCCTCACACAACTATAATCGAAACTCATAAAATCAAAAAATGAAAATAAAATTGTTACAAATCTTCAATAGATTTATGAAAGAAATTTTGATTTGCATTGAGATGACGACTTCGACCACCGGTCTGGGTGGGAGTCGAGAAGGGGAAGCCGCGAAAGGGAAAGATAGATTTTTGTTTCATGGATGCCCACCACTAGCTTATAGGTTTTTCATGAGAGTGGGATGGAGTGAGGCACGTGGGTAGGTTTCTTTTTTCAGTTTTTTGGTTTATTTTTATGTTAAATTTGAGGAGTTATCATTTGGTTAAAATCAAATTTTTTGGTCAACTAACGGCACAATTTGTACCTTAGCTGCATATTTCTGAAAAGTTAGGGACCTTTATTAGCATAAATTAAAGGTAAGAGTAAAATCTACGAAAATTAAAAAGTTAAAAGACTGCTGCTGCAATTTTCCCATAAAATATATAATAAAAACACGGAAGCGTTTCTCTTACACATGAATTTGACAAATATTTTTGACAAATAATCATGATCTTTAAATGAAGCAAATCCAACGTCACGATTATTTGTTAAAAATACTTGTCAAATCCATGTATAGGATGAACGCTACCATAAAACATATTAAAATCCACTTTTATCAAACAGCATAAATTTACAGAGGGAGATGCTATATGTACCAAATTATTTACGAAATGGGTGATCGAATTGACAAGTGTCGTGTCTTTATTGGAGTGAACAGGCGCCCCTCCAATAGGGGGTATCACTTGTCAATTCGATTAAAAATTAGGTAAGAGATTTGGTACAAGTAAATTAATTCTATCTCCAAATCACGGCCCGATTAGAAAACCTAACCCGTCTTCTGCTCACCGTATATAAGTGCCTTTGTTCAATCGTACATAGACCCACCTATTTCTTTGAATTGGAAAAATCCGGGAATAGTCGCGGTGTGATCTTTGCAGATCTGGTGGTTCTTTATAAATTCTTTTGGTAATTTTTTTATCTGCTGAGTTCTAAATAATTCTTGACGACTTCGGCTTGTATTGGTACATTCTTTTGAATCTATGTTTTTCTTCTTGGTGGATATTGTTTAAATGTGAACACGGTTGATTTCAGGGTCTTATTTACTTGAGTCACCTTTCATTTTTTGGGTTAATATCTCATTCTCCTCCCTACTTTCGTAATTGACACACGTTTGACGTTTTGTTTGAGTTATCTTTTGATTTCCAATTCATCATTAATGAAGTTGATTGATTTTAGGTTTTGCTTTCTCTATCTCCTATCAATTTTTGTAGTTGAAGAATACTTGCTGTATGAAGTTATATTATTAAGTTTTTTTAGTCATTGATTTTCCAATTCATTATTAATGAAGTCGATTGACTTTAGGGTTTTGATTTTCTGGATTTTTGGTTTAATAATTTTGGTTAACATTAATCTTCCTTTTTACTATTTTACAATTGAAAGATTTGTTATGCTTCGTGAGTTTGTTAATTTTAAAACTAAACCTTTTATGCTTATATACTTAAAATACCATTTGTAATGACCGGGAAGGTTCTGTATGTGTAGAGATAGAGAGTCCAGAATTTTCAGTGTCAATCCTTTTTTTGTTGTTAAAAGCTGGTAAAAATGTATTATGTTTTTACGCGGAATCTTGTTCAAATGAATTGGAAGAAATTTATGTTTAAATAAGTTGGAAGTGAACTATTTCATTCAAGTAAGGCAAAATGATGGACAATCTGAAACCACACTTACAGATACTTTTTAGGGTTTTATATTGTGGACATGTAGGGACATAGATGGACTCGTGCACATTCTTCGGAGCATTATGTTTAAAAGGTTGATCGGGTGTTCAGGCATTCCCGTAAGCAAGGCATAAGCTTCAATGTATACCAGAAAAAAAAAAGACAGAGTAAAGTAATTAAAATGCGAAATAATCTCATAATAAATCATAAAATCTCTTCAAAATTTAAATAGAATAATTTAAAATGTTCAAAAAAATAAAAAATAAAAAATAAAAAATAAATCCATGAAGTAACAAAAAGGAAACTATTTCTTTAGTTGGTGGAGCAACGGACTATTCCCAAAGTGGACTAGTATAAATATTTTTTTTAAGTTGTAGCTGGTTCCCAAGGTGGTTTAATAGGGAGACAATTTTTTAATGCTTTAGCAATAGCTAGTGAGGCAATGGGCTATTTACAAAGTTGGGTCCAGAGGAATTTTTAATATTTTTTGCCCTGCGCCATAAGCAAAGTAAATAAGTCTAGAGAATTAAATAGTGAATGCCTCACAAGCATTGAAGCATGTCTCCAGAAATGCCACCCGATCAGGGCCTTAAGGTGTTTTTTATTTGCCATGCTTTGAGATGTTGAGATTTTTTAAACAATTGGAGCATCTTATATGACATGGGTCAGCAATTGGAAAT